GTGCTAGCACAGCTGTGTTAGGAAGCTCCCTCTGATTGGACGGAAGTACAAGGTACTGTTAATAAGCTGGGACATTGCACATGATGCTGGAAGTTGTTTTGAGGATAAGGGACCTCCGCCGGATTTTGGTAAAAGACTAAGCTGCTGTTTGCTCTAGTTTAGATTCATGCTTTTGGATTTACACCTTTTGACTTTTTGTGAATGTTTTCTTTCCCTTTGATTTCGGCTTTTGTGTTGGAGCTGGCCACTCCTTTGCATCTGTACTCTTTTCCTTTTTTAATAATATTTTCACTTTAAAAAAAAAATAAAAAAAAATAAAAAAAAATAAAATAAAAAATAAAATAAAAATATATATATATATATATATATATATATATATAAACACACACACACATATATACATATATATATATATATATATATATATATATTATAAACGAAGTTTTTTATTAGAAGTAAAAGAAAAGTACAAGGGGGTTGGCTGAGACCCCTACATAATGCCTTGCATCCCTAAAACACAAACAAAACAAAAATCCAAAAAGCAAAAGTCCAAAGATAAAGGCACACTAAGCCACAAGTTCAAACATCCAGCTTGTGTTGGTCAGTTCTTCTTGGATCAGCACCAGGGTTATAGTGGAGGGGTCCACATAAACGCCATTATTGTCCTCGGTGTCAAAGCAAGTTGATACTTTGCCAGGACCAGATTCAATTGTAACACCTCCAATATACCACACAACAGGAAAAAACCAAGGCCTCATCCTAGTAAAAGGTACCAGGAAGAAGAGAGTGTGAATAGGGGGATCTACTAGCCTTAGAAAGCTTAGTGCGTAGCCCAAACTCAAGCTTTAGAACCTGTAACTCTGTAAGTCTCCAAATGAAGCCTGTAAATTCTCAAGGGTGATGTAAAGTTGACCCACCAATCTTGATTGCACACTAAACAAGAGCTTAAAGCTTTTAGTCACCAATCAATAACCAAGCACCTGCTGATGACGACCAAAACCCAAAAAACTGCAACAAAATTAATAGAACAAACAAAAGCTGTTTCCCAAGACTTCAAACCCCCTGCTTCAATTCCCTTTGAAGGACCAAAACAACATAAAAGAAGGACCAAGAAACTGGAAATAACCCCTGCCTAGAGTGTAATCCTAATCAATCCTGTTCACCGCATAAATGAGCTAGAACGACATTCATATCTTCTTTCGCATAAGCAAGGTACACCAGATACCTTGCACCTTCCATTGTTGCTGCATCAATATACTCAAAGCTTTTGATTGCTTCTCTAGTAACCCTAACGACTTCCTCTGAGTAGTTGAGGATCTGTCCTTTATTGAGAGCATCCAAAAACTGTTTGCTAGCAATTGATTTCCTAAAGAGGTTCATGTTATCTTTGATAACTTGATGAAAAATATCCAGACATCCCTGGTCTAAAGGAACCTCTGCCAATGGAGTGTGCCTTTGCAAACTTTCCATCTCTTTCTCCATAGTGAGGTCAACAATTACCCTACTTTCAGTATTAATCTGTTCTTCATCACATATAGTAGCAGAAGGAACTCCATTATAGCATCTCCACCCCTCATCCTTGCAAATTTTAACCAGCCCAAGACCTTCTTGAATTGGCAGTGGCTTTGGCAGGTGATTATTTAATTCCTTTGAGTTTCTCAATAATTCAGATAGACCCTTACTGAAAAGCTTAAGCCCCTCTAAATAGAAACCAGCAGGAATGATAATCTGGTTAGGCAAAGACCCTGTTTTTTATATATATGGGATTGATTCTAGTCGGATGACATGTTTCGGTCAGATGACACTTTCGGTCAGATGACAACGAATGCTCATTCTGAATCAATGTAGTGCTCATTCTTAAACAACGTAGGATTCATTCTCACACAACTGTTCATCACAATGTAGTGTTCATCCATAGCCAGCGAGACGACAACATAGGGTTCATTTTGAATCCACGTAGTGTTCATTCTAAGACATTGTAGGGTTGATTTTCACACATTTGTTCATTATAAACGTAGTACTCATTCTGAAAGAACCTAGTACTCATTCACAGTCTGCTCAGTGCAGTGTTCATTCTGAATTAAGGTGGTGCTCATTCTCAAACAAGGTGGTGCTCATTCTGAAGCATGTCATCTGACCGAAAGTGTCATCTGACCGAAAGATGTCATCTGACTAGAGTCAATCCCATATATATATATATATATATATATATATATATATATATATATATATATATAGAGTAAATTATATAAAAGGTCCCCAGTTATAGATCATTTTACATATTTAGTCCCTACATATCAAATATTACTAATTTAGTCCCCAATTATTATATTTATTTCCACGAATGGTCCTTTGTTAACATTGATTTTGATTTAGGATTCAAAGCTAGAAACTCAACAACGAGTTTGAGAAATGAGTACAAGGGAAGAGGAAGCTTAATTGGGGAGAGAAAGGAGTGTGAATTTTTAAATTTATCCACGTTTTAACGAAAATGTTAACAAAGGACCATTCGTGGAAATAAATATAATAATTGGGGACCAAATTAGTAATATTTGATATGTAGGGACTAAATATGTAAAACGACCTATAACTGGGGACCTTTTATGGAATTTACTCATATATATATATATATATATATATATATATATATATATATATTGTTGGGGACTTGTCGTAAGGTCCAAAACAAATTAAAAATTTATAAAATATCCTTAACTAACCCACAATATATAATCAAATAAAAACTATAGCTAGGGCAAGTAAGGGTCGATCCCACGGAGAAAGTTTGTACTTTTTAAAACCAATTTAGAATGCAAACACATTGTCACAAAAAAAATAAAATTAACTACTACACGCATAATAAAACTTATAATTAAATAAATATAAAAACTTATAAATATAACTTATATAAACAAAGAACTTATAATATAACTTAGTAAAAAAACTTATATAAATATAAACAAAAAAAGGGGGGGTTTGAATGAAAAGTAAATATTTTTGGTTTTTATGTATTTTCTTATTTTTTTGGTTTTTTGATAAAATGGGGGAAATAAGCTCAAAAGATATTACTTCTCCAATAAAGGTAACCCAAGAAACACCGCCAAGAACCCGAGACAAAATGAAAAAAGAGAATAAACACGAGTTGAACATTACACGTTTAATAGGCACGTAGACAATATATTACGTAACTTACGCACTTAAGAATAGGAAAAACAATCAAAGGCCGAGTCGATTCATTTCCTTAACCACGATATGGAGGATTGTCAACTCTCCACACGGCCCGGAGTCATGCAATTCAAAGGCCCATTTTGAAATATACCTTAGAACCCCAACTCACCAATCAAGCATGAAAACATACTTCCACTATAGAAAAAGTTTATAAAAGAGCGAATTTTTTTTCATTCTAACTCTCATGCATAATCTATTCACAAACCGCCAATACCCTATGCATTTTAATAAACTTTTTCTCCTAATGATGAGCACATTTCATAGATTTCCATGAACTCCTCAAACCAATGACGTTTTTTCTATTCACATAGAAGAACACAACATATTTTCAATAAATCAAGAATTGTTTATTGCACTTAAACAATCTCAATTTAAAGAAAATGGAAAACAAACACATAACATAACAAAATCACTTTATAACGAATTCTAAGAAAAATGAATCAACTTATGGGGCTAAGAAGTCCAAATTCCTTAAAATCAACGAACACAAGGCACAACAAAGAAACACGTATGAATTCGGAGTTTATTTAACTATCTTATGGAGCTAAAATAGCTTCAACAAAAACCGAATTCCACATAAAACCTACTTATGAATTTGAAACAATTCAATCAATTCAACAACAACTTGTGCAATAATTGAAGTAAATAAGAAAGAATCAATTCTCATTCATAAGGGAATATATATAAACATTAAAGAAAATACCCATAAAAGAACACCAACCATTTTGAGATTTTTGAAATTAACACAAACAAATAAACAAAAATGTAAAAATTAAACTAAAAACAACACTTTACAAAGGATTGGAGAACAAAATTGGAGAAACAAGCTAGGGTTACCACTTTATTGAAGAAGATGAATAAATTAAAGGATTGGAGCTTGAAGAAAAGTTGCTGCCAACCATCGTCGTCCGCCGGCGAGCAGTGGTCCGCCGCCGTCTGCTTCCTCCTCTGGTGCGCGGCTTCAATCTCAGTTGCCGCGGCCTAGAGCCGCGGCTCTCTGCGTGATATTTCCCCCCTCCTCTGAAGCTTTAATCATCATCAATTTATAGCAAGAGGATTGTTTACCGTTGTAGATTTGAGTGAGTAGAGAGTGCCGTTGCTATTGATTGAGGCGAAACTGACGGAGGAGCGTTGAAGAAGCTGGGCGCTGGTTTATCGCGAAGAGAAGAAGTCATAGACTTCAATTCTCCGTTCTTTTTTTTTTCTTGCGTGAAGATAAAGTGAGATGATTGGTGGGCTGATTCTCTATTATGTTTGTTCTGAGCTTTGGCCCAAAATCAATCTCTTCTTTTCAAACTTGAACTTCAATTCGGCCTTTAGCTGCAATTTTCTCCAAAAATAAGATATCTGATAATTTGGATTAGGAAAAATAAAATAAAAATAATATAATGTAAAAATGTTTAAAAAGCTAATATTTTTGAAAGAATTTAAAAATAAGAATTTTAAAATAAAACTAAGCTAAAACAACTAAAAATTAAAGACTAAAAATATTAAAAATGCCTAAAATTAAATAAAAAGAACTAACCCAAAAACGACTTATCAAATACCCCCTTACTTAAGAGTTGAAAGTCCTCGTTCAAAAGACCAAAAAGAGTACATTATTTGTTTTTATCATCATCAAGAAAAAACAAAGTGAACCTTAAACCCCCACACTTAAGATTTTATGCTCATTCACATTTTAAGAACAAAGTGAGCTAGAAATCCTACAAGGATGGAAAACTCAGGTGTGGATTTTTTTGGGTTCTAACAAATGCTCTAAAGCTGCTACAAAAAAAGTTTCCTAGCGAAATCCTATGGTTTAGAACGGCTCAATAGCAGCGATAGCAAGATTCATCAATAAGCCTAAGAATATTAAAATCACACGCTTTTCTAAAAATAAAAGGGCTACTAAAACTGGTTTCTCTCTGTTTTTTTCAGATTTTAATATCAAGCAATTGTTGATTAGGTAGCATCTAGGTAGTATGTGGATGGCCAGTTCTAGAAAACAAAATTCTACGGGATTCCTAGAAGGATTTCAAACATTTTAAGGTCATTTTTTTACCAAGAAAAGAGCATAAGACTCAATGCGGGTTTATAAAGTATACACTTGCTATCTTTCAGAATAAAGCCCCAAGGAAAACAATGAGGTTTTTGGGTCAATTTTTGAAAACAATGCTCTAAATAAGAAGATATGCAACTAAGAATGACAAAATATTTAGACCCAAAACCAATTTTGAAAATTTTTTGCCCCAAAGGTGTGTTTTTTTCAAACAAAAACATTCATGAATGACTCCCCCCACACTTAAAATGTGCATAGTCCTCGATGCATCTAAATGATATGCAAATGACAATATTAAGCAAGCACGAACTTAGCAATGAGAGAAGGGGATTGGAAAATGCAAAAAAAAAACAAAGTATACGCAGCATTAAAAGATGGGGAAAAAGCCAATTTCCCGCGCTACTTTCTCTCTCTACAATCTGGCGATTTTGGCGATTTTTTCCAAATTGCGATCTGCAGCGTTTTTCTGTGATTTCTTCCAAATTGTTTGTTGATTGTTGATCGGTTCTCCTTGCTGTGTACTCCCCTGTTGATTCCGCACAGATTGGTGGCTTATTTTGTGCGATTTGGTGGAGTATTGACGATTCTGCGATCTACCAGAGATCAGATTTCGATCTGCGCAGCTGATGCTCTCTCATGGCGGATGATGACCCTCCTGGGCTTCGTCCTGACCATATGGACACATCTACACCAGCTATTCCAATTTCTCTTTCAAATCCAGTGATTTCCCAAAATTCTGATTTGCAGATCCGAAACTCAGAAATGGAGCTGCAAGCTAAGATTTCTCATGTTAATGTTCCTGAAAGCTCTTCTAAGGGCTTCGACACCCCTCAAATTCTCAATACTGGAATACCAGTTGAACATGTAGATATTGAGGATGTTACTGACGAGGAGTTTCCTCCGCTGAACTGCCCAGCCCCCAAAACTGTTCCTCAGACTTTTAGTAATCTGCATTCTAACACTCATGAACACTATATAACTGCATTTCGAACTTATGTTAAGCATTTATTATCGTTGGGGAAAACTGAGGAAGCCATTGAAGTTGCTCTGAAGTATAGTCCTAAATCTATTCAAACTCCATTGTTGGTTGAATCTGAGAAATCTGCTGACCTATTTGTTGAACCTGATAAATCTGTTGCTCTAATTGTTGAACCTGAGAAATCTACTGGTGGAATTGCTAACTCTACTGTTAAGAAAAATACAGTAAGTATTGATAATGGGAATGAGGTTCCAAAAATATCTCCTGACAAAAATATGTCAGTCAGTCTTCGTTTTCGACGAGGGTTGGAATTGTTTTTGGTCCAAGTTTGGTTTTGATCACCTGTCTTACTATTATCCGGACATGGTCTTCCCTCTAGACTCAGTTATGCACAAACTGTTACACCTCAACAGCAAACTAATGGGGGCTTGAAGCTTGTTTTACCTGATAGAAATATTATCATGCATAGAGACACTCCTGTTCGTTTTGCTGAGGAAGAAGTTGAACACTTATCAAAAATTGACAGATTTACCTTGGTTGGGAAATTCTCACATGGACAACCCAAATTGGATGTGATTAAAAAGCACTTTGCCACACAGTATTTGCTCAAAGGACAGGTCACTATTGGATGGAGAGGACCTAGACATGTGATTCTCACATTTTCAAATAGCCAGGATTGCACTGATATTCTGCTTAAAAGCCAAATTGCTTTTAATGGTGCTAACCCCATGAGATTATTCAGATGGACCCCAGATTTTAATACTGAAACTGAGACATCTATTGCTTCAGTTTGGATATCTTTGCCAGGTTTACCTATTCATTTCTTTGATAAGGCTGCTTTGGCTTTAGGTTGTAAACCTTTGGGTAAGGTATTGGTGATTGATCAGGCAACCATGAGTAAATCTAGACCCCATGTTGCAAGAGTTAGAGTGGAAATGGATCTTATGTTACCCTTAATTCACAAGGTCTTTATTGGGACTTCCACTCTTCCAGGAAAAGAAGATGAAGGTTTCTACCAATCTATTGAATATGAGAGAATCCCTCTATATTGCTCTAAATGTTTCAAGCAAGGCCACTCAGCTGAAAAATGTAAACTGGAAGATAGCAATCACTTTTTGGCTGAAAAAACAAGGAAGGGTAAAAATATTCTGACAGAAGATAACTCTCACCAGGACAGGCCAGAAAGAAGGAGGAGTAGAAGTAGAGGCCCTAAAGCTCACAAACAGACTACTCACAAACAAGATGTTCTTGATTTAAGGCCAACAGCTGCTGGACCTTCAAATGTACAGAAGGATATATCAAAGAAAAATGTCCCTCAAAAGAAACAAGAATCTGATGTGTTGAAAGCTGGGGTGGACCAATCCTTTCAAATGGTACAGAGGAAAAATTCAAACCAGAAAGGACAGCTAGCAGGATCTTCTGCAAAGGAAGCCTCCAATACAAAACTTTTCCCCCTTAATTCAACTATTGGTATACTTCCCAAATCTGCACAAATGGGCCCTTCCAGTTCCCACACTATTAACAACAGCAACAGTTTTGCAGTGCTGAGTCAGCCTATTGAGGACCTGCCAACATTAAACCCCCAAGCACCTGAATTTAATCCCACACAATATACACTTGGGGTTCTTAAAGAAGTGCCTTTACAGTCAATGGACCAAAATCCACAAAATATGAGCATACTTTTCCCTGTGATACCCACCAGTGAGATCCCTAAGCAGCTAATTTGTGGTGAGAACACCTTAGCCAATACCATCCCATCTAATTCAAATGTAATGTTGGAAGAAATAGATCCTGGACCCCAAACTGCTGAGAATGCTATTGAGGAAGTCTGGTCAGATGAAGGTTATGCTAGTCCCATTGGAGAAGAAGACTCCTTCTGTTCACCAGTGTTTGATCCTAAATCAAAAAAGCTTTTAAATGATATTTCTCTGGATGTTCCTGCAGCAAACACCAGAAAGGGTTCATCCAAGGCAAAACCACCCAAACCCCCTACAACTAAGAAGTCTGGCAGGGCCAGAACTTCTTCTCCCCCTCCACGATAATTTTATGGATTCCACACTTGTGTGGAATGTCAGAGGGATCTTCACCAGAGGGTCCCTTGATCGACTTCATCATCTGGTTTCTAAACACCATCTTCAACTTGTTTGCATCATTGAACCTTTCAGGGGAGCAGAACACTGTGAATCCACTAAAAAACATATAGGCTTCTCACAACATTTTGTTGGGTGCTCTGGGAAAATTTGGTTACTTTGGAAGGATACTTATACCATTAAGGTTCTCTCTGATGAGGAACAAGTGGTTTTTGTGGATGCAACCCATACCCCCAGTCAAAAAACTGGATTTATGGCCTTTGTCTATGCTAAAACCAAAAGCTGGTTAAGAAAGGATCTCTGGGCCTCCCTGGTACAGTTTACTCAGTCTTATACTGTTAATAAACCCTGGGCAGTTGTTGGAGACTTTAATTGCAGCCTAAATCCTGATGAGAAAAAAGGGGGTCTCCCTATGTCTTTAAATGCCAGCTGGGATTTCCAACAATGCATCAATGATTGTGGTCTTATGGAAGTCACCACCTATGGTAATACCTTTACTTGGTGGAATGGTAGGAGGAAATCTCACTCCATCTGGAAGAGATTGGACAGATGTCTGGTTAACCAATCCTGGGCTGACACATTTCAGACTAATGTTCATGTTCTCTCTTTAACCACCTCTGATCATTCTCCACTTCATATATCCACAACAATACCAACTTGTACTACTGCCCCTAGGAAATTTTATTTCCTTAATGCATGGACCACTCATGCTGATTTCATGCAGGTTGTTGAAAAGGCTTGGAAAACAACTCTGTCTGGCCCACCTATGGTTCAGGTTGCTGCTAAGCTAAAGGCTACTACTTATGCACTTAATACATGGAATAAGCAAGTCTTTGGCAATATATTTACTAAATTGGAAGATCTTGAGAAGAAGGTTCAGAATGCTGAAGAACTCTACCAGGCTGACCCTAGTGATGAAAATTTAATCAATTTCAAATCTGTTGAAGCCTCATACATCCATCAATTACATCTGGAAGAGCTGTTTTGGAGGCAAAAAGCCCATATTCAATGGATTGAGGATGGGGATAGGAATTCTAAGTTCTTTCACTCTATAGTGAAGGACAGGAGAAGGAGATTATATATCCACAAAATTAAAGACCAGACTGGAGCATGGATTGAGGATCAAAAACAGATTGCTCAACAGGCCATTGAATTTTACCAACACCTTTTCACTGAAGAGTACAGAGGAGACATTGATTATACATCCCTCTCTCTTATTCCCTCACAAATAACAGAGAGTGATAATCAAAAATTGGTTTCTACACCTAGTCTGGAAGAAGTTAAGCAGGCAGTATTCTCTTTAAACCCACACAGTGCAGCTGGTCCTGATGGCTTCACTGGACTTTTTTATCAAACATGTTGGGAAATTATACACAAGGATATCTTGGATATGGTCTCTGGTTTCTTTGAAGGAGATTATATGCCTAAAAGCATGACACATACTGCCATTGTTTTGATTCCCAAGGTGGACTGTCCCAACACATTTGCAGATTTCAGACCTATTAGTCTTTGCAATTTTAGTAGCAAAATTCTTTCTAAAGTACTTGCTAACAGACTTGCTAGTATCCTGCCCAATGTGATATCCCCATCTCAAACTGGTTTTATCCAAGGGAGGTCTATTGTTGAAAATATTCTTATAACACAAGAATTATGTCATGGTATGCAATTGGGCAATAGGGACATCATCCTGAAACTGGATATGGCCAAGGCCTATGATAGGGTCTCTTGGTCATTCCTGATAAAAGTCCAAAGAAAAATGGGTTTCTGTGAGAAATGGATTGATTTGGTCTTCAGGATGATTTCTAATATCTGGTACACTGTGCTTATTAATGGACAGAGAGAGGGCTTCTTTACTTCTTCAAGGGGATTAAGGCAAGGAGATCCTCTATCACCCAGCCTTTTCATTATTGCTGCAGATTTCTTATCCCAACTCCTTGATCATAAAATTCAGTCTCCTGGTGTCATCCCTTTCTCTCAACCACATGCCATTCAGCCCATCAGTCACCTTGCTTTCGCGGATGATATGATTATATTCACATCTGGCAGGAAAAACTCAGTG